GGGGGGGGGGGGGGGGGGGGGGGGCATGGACAGACAGAGGAAAGAAAAAACGGCAGGAAGTGGAGTGTAAAATGTCAAGGACTTGCACCAAATATGCAACATGCAGCTTTACAGAGGTGTCCATGGATAAAGCATAATGTTCTCATGGTGAGGTTATTTTTATGGCTGCATAAACTGGGGTCCAGGTGAAAAAGAGTGAAGTCTGCTCTCAACGATTATTTGTTATGATATATGTGTGGTGGGTCTTTAAGAATAAACAAGTTAACTATTACTTATCTGATCTTCTTATTCTAATGAGACTATGTTTTCTGCTCTATGACTGCTGAAACAAACCAAGACAAAGTGATCAGGAGGACATTACAATGGAAACAGCTCTCTCACTTTCAGGACCGACATGGCTATCACATACTGTGTCACTGATGTGACATGAAAGATGAAAAAAAACAACGTATTAATGATCCATGGTCTATGCAGTAAGTAACTGATACCGATACACAAGGTCTCATGACATGGAAGCTACTAAAAAAAAAACATGAATTTTCCATGTACATATGGATACACACACTTTAGTGTTACTATAAGAGACATTTACAACCTTAAAATGTCAAAAACGGCACAAAAAAGCAAAAATATGCTGATGCTGTTTATTTAGTGCATAATTAAGTCATTCAAGTGTCATTGAATGCAATAAAAGACAAATAAAATGGTTTGTAACAAAGACGTATGTTGTATTGTTCTGATAACTGTAGCCTACTTATTACACATTGAATGTAATATGAAAAGCAAGTGCACATTCTGCTTGTTTTACTGATGAGAGGAAAGAAACAAGAGCCTGCTAACTCCGCCTAAATGCATTTATTTGTTCTCATTTATAAAGCATTTATCATGTGGATAGGTTTTCAATAGCAGATGCAAAAAAAGAAGTTCTGATTTATCAAACGTACATCTCTTCAAAATGGCTGGTTTAACTATTCAAGATAATATGAGGTGATGTGGAAATGACAATAAACATGTTAAAGGAACGCTCATTTACACACAAATTCACTCTTCTCATGAGGTATGAGGCCTATAGGGAATTGGCTTTCGATTGTTTGTCACTTCTTAAAAGTGAGTTTTCAGGAAAAAAAAACATTTGAGAAACAGTATTACAGTATTGATCATTTGTCCCACTTCTAACAATTTCCCCTGTGCTCTCTGACTTTGTGTCCGGTAAAAGCTGATGACTTCTGGGGAAAACAAGGCAGAGAGAGCTTCACACCGAGTTACATTCATTTCCAAACAGACGCCAGTGCAGCAGGCGCTCGCTATCTGAACTCCAGCTAAAGTCCACTCAGATACACTATCAACACCACGGAGCCGAGACAGAGAGAGAGTGAGTGAGTGAGGGGCGCATGCAGGAGTAAAGTCCACGTGTTCATGTTAACACAGTGGTTTGTCAAATGCAACAAACAACAGGCTAAACAAACAAGAGAGAGGGAGACAGTAGGAGACGGTAAGAAAGACAGATACAAGTCGACTACAGATACAAAAAAAAAAAAAAAGAAAAAAAACGAGGGCAGAGTTCAGCCTGAGAGTCGGATGGAAAGAACAAAACACAGTTTTGTGCCCAAAATAATTGGACTTGATTGCGGGGAGGGCCTCTGGAGAATAAGATAGCGGATAGGGAGTGAACAGAGCGTGCATGTGTGTGTGTGTTTATGTGCACGAGTTATGCAATGACTACCCAGAGGTAACACAAGACAGGAGCCCAAACTCTCAAACTGAAACCTAGAAGAGTTCAGCAATCTGTATCAGTCTGCAGTGCCAATTATCAACCACAGATCAGCAATAACCGGCAACAGCTGACTCACCATAACACACAGTCACAGTCAGACCAGTGTTATGTGCTCAACAGCACAGCAGAATGCTTCTCGTGTCATATTGTCTCACCGTGAGCTCAAATCAGCAAAGTCTCATCTCTCTTCCTTTCACTCCGGGGCTCCACTGGAGTTTCAGCCTTCTCCATTCTTATCACCTGTGTGTTTGAGTTCAAATAGTCCAGATTCAAATCAATAAACACTTTCTGCTGCATGAGAAGAGCGACTAAATCCAGTACAAGCAAACACCTTTCAATGCTGCTGCTTCATCAGGGTCTCTTTTAAGTGTGCGTTGATAGCGAAGATAGAAATCCCACTTCCGACAGAGACAGTGGTCACACACAGACACACCAATGGATTTCATCCAGAACATCACATTAGCTGCCATGTTGTTTGTTACATGAACAGCTGAGATGTTGACAAAATAAGGGATATTAGTTAACGGTCAGTGACTGTTAAAAATGTAGTTTTGACCAATGAAAACAGGTTGGAGATGGAGCAGGTGCACAGAAATAGAGCCAGGGCGAGGGCTTTTTCAAACAAGCGACACGTCGAGCAGCCTGTTCGCTGGCACACACAAACAAACCATAGCATATACTTTAGCTCCCAAATGATGAAAATAACAGAGTAGTACTCTGACACGACCTCCCGTTGGTGAGAGGCTGAAAGGAAAAGAGTGGCTAAGCATTGTGTACACAAACCCATAAAGTCAACACCGACAACAGCTATATTCCATCAGCAACACACAGGACAAAAGAGCTCCGACGGTGGTATGCTCTGTGTGGGTGTGAACGCCGATTACAGCCTGTCACTATGAGTTTAATACCAGGGCTAGTATAGGGACAAACATGTCACACACGGAGCATGTGGGCAGAACTGCCCCGTAAAGAGGGGCCACGTACAATGCCGGATTGATCCACAGAAGGTCAAGCCGCTCTCAGTTCACTCAAACTAAACGTACAATCTATCGGATATCAACGGAGGTTTGTGTAGAATTCAATGATATAATAATGTGGCAAGAAGTAGGTCTGAGTGACACAGAGGAACTAAGCTTTGATACTGACAGGGACTAATCTCGGGGTCACTGTGCACTGCAGTGTAAAGAGTAGATAGGTGATGTGTGTTAGCTCTGTGGGCTGAAGCTGAATTTCCAATTTGGCCCAATATGGGAAAGATTGATCTCGCCACAAACTCCATTTTGTTTTCCGTTAAACCAACCGAACCAAAAACCTCCTGTACGCTGTCGATCCGTTATACTCGTTATATTTGCGACATTTCATCCGGTAAAACTAACGTATAAAGTGGGTGCCAGCGATCAACAGTGTGCAGGAAGCTTCTGGTTCTTTTCAAATTCATAGTCAGAATTTATTATCCGACACGTCTGTCTATAAGATTTTCTAGTGTGCAAAAACTGTGTCGAAGTATTGCAATTAAATTGAATTAGATGCAATTAAAAGCAGATCTTGTCCTGGTTGCAGACCTTGAAAACAGTGAAAAATAAAACCTCTACTTCACCTGACTGTCACGTTGGATCAAACATCTTCAGAGGATTAGCGAGTTGTGAAATCAGTCGCGTTCACCACAACATACATTCAGTGCACTGTTCTGCACTGCCTTACACTGGCACAGACCAGAGGGGCATCCACAGTCCAGATGTCAAAGTGCTTCTTTAGTTCTCATCTGCAGAAGGCATAAGACTAAAGCCAGCTATTAAGCCATGTGAACTACTAGGAAGTCACATATTCTTTTAATTAGCCACAATTAAAAGGCTAACAGACCAAACCTCCAGTCTTTAAAACGTTGGGTTAATAGCAGGCCTGACATCATCACATTAGTATCTTACGCACACGATGTTTCCAGCGAGCACAAGTCATTTTCCTATTTTTATTGTCAGAATTGAGACACTGAAGTCCCTCCTATTGCCCTGCTGCAGAACACATAAAGTCTCATTTTAGACTAATTGGTTTCTGCTAGGTTGTATGAAAGGGGAACTAATGGCTGCAGCAGCATGTGTAAAATCATGTTAACTTATATATAAATGTTGCACTAGATTTGCTTCCTCAAAACAGATAAAAACTGATATATTTATGGGCCTGTTCATACATGCAGGCAAAGGGCACGCTGTCATTTGACAGATTAAATGCTGAGGACTGCCCGGCAGTGACCTCTGGACCTGCTGCTGTGTGGCTTCTGCCGGCTCGGCTATCGTCATCGTACAAGTTTGTGAGCAGGAAAAGCAGGTGAGAGGAGCCAGTTTTGGCTGTCACTCAGCTGTCAGTGAGAGGCGAAAAGGCCAAACTAAGCCTGACACCTGGGTGTCAACACATGACAAAAAACACAGATGCAGCTTAGTGAAGCTCATGTGTCGCATGCAAGAAAATGTACCAACAACATACATTTTTCTACATTCCTGTGGAAAATTGGCCGACGAGCTGATGTGTGAAATGTTTATGCCGTGACTACAACGGCAACTTTATGCGATCATCAGTTGTACACCTCGGGATATATCAGCTCCAGCACCACTAATAAAAAGGTCTGGGCATTGATTGTTTAAGCTATACAATCTAAAGTAATAATAAAAAGTCAGGATTCCAATCAGGTAGCCCATTATCAATCAAAGAAATAAGTAAACAACATTTGATGCCAGATTCCAGTAGAGTTTCTGATACTCTGGGCTTTGAAATCAGATTTTGGTTTGGACAAAAACACAAAACACTGAGATTCGATATCCATCCCTACGAGTAGCCTCAATTTACCAGAATGCAACGCTGCCTCGGCACATGTTGCACTTACGGGTGCAAATCAACATCTTGTCCCACTTCTGTTGTCGACATTTTTACTCAGACTTAAAACTGTATGCAACAAGTTCAGCCGGTCTAATGGAAGAAGGTCAAATGTTTTTTCCTGTAATGACTCCTGCAATGTAGAGCTAAAGAAATACGGATTATTGATATATCATCAAAAGCAGTAAATAGGGGGACAAAATGTGTCATTGTAACGATATTGTCCGTTTGATATCTCAGAATATCTTTTGGTTTTGGACTGATCAGACGAAAAATGCAGTTTGAAGATTTGACGAAGCAGTTTCAGGGTGCTGGTACTGTGCATGCTGGCTTACTGTTGTAGTTTACAGGCATACTTTAATGTTATAAGTAACAACTGTGACTTTCCTACTATGACAAGTGAAAATATCTGCTGTGAAAAAGGCTTATGAATAGCTGCAGCCCAACTGAAATGCAGCAAATATCTCCCTTTAAGCCCTACTTACCTGTAGGCTTTAATTACGTCTTAACATGAGAAAATCTCATTGATGGAAACAACAAATGCAGAGTTGAAGGTTTACTGTGAGAAAATCTCTTGTAATAAATCCCCATCCTTGCAACTGGAAGTAACTCCTGGCATCAGTACTGGTTCAACCGCACTGACACAGATTCATTAGGCCTGAGTCAATCTTTGGGAACCGTGATGCAAGAACAGTGATCCATTAATGACAGGGCTCAGACACAGATTTGTCCAGAAGACAGTCAAAACAAGACGCGAGTGTGTGTGACCGACAATAACTAAAAGGCAGAACTCCCTCCACAGCAAACCCTCCCAAACCCGAGGCAATCTCTCAACCCACACTCCCACCCACTGTGTACCCTGTCTGATGGAAGGATAAGAGGCGAGATACCTCAGGGTCAGTGTACACAAAAGGGGGGAATGTATGTAAGGTAGAATTATTGCCATTATTATAACTCCCTTGGTGCCCCCAAGTGCCTTCTTGGATGCCCCTACGGTAGATAAAACATGATAAAGTGCCTTCTAGGCGGCTCTTCAAGTGGAGAAAACATGATGCAGTGAACTAATGGGTGCACTTAATTGGAAAAAACATGATGCAGTGCTGCTCTACATGCTAAAAGCACTTTCTGCAAGCTGGTTCCCCACCACATGTAGCTCGAGCCCTTATTAATCTTTTTCCCCGCATATGCCCCTCAGACATCCCGAGTCCACCACTGGTCATGGGACAAGGTTCGAACAAAAACATAATTGAGAATGAATCAATGAACTACTTTACACTCACGACCAAAGAGTTGGATTCAGGCAGTTTGCTTTGAGAATGCATTGAACAATCAGGAAGGTGGATTAATTCCTCCTGTTGTTTTGGGTGCAGAGGGATTAAAAAGTAGACGCGATTGAGTCTAAAACTGAGGGACTCACAACGTCCCCACGTTAATGTCAGGGGCGACTTCACTCGAACATTCTGTCTCGTGTGAGATGTATTATTTACACCAGGAACTGCGCGAGCTCTGTGAAAGTAGTTTAAAAGGTGGGAGAAGCCGATTTGGTAATGACAACAAAACACAAGAATTTAAGCAAACAACCGGTCTTACCTGGAAAACGTTGAGAGCTGTGGGTCCTCATTCATAACATAGTGGCAACTCCGGGCGACATTAAAGAGACGAACCGCGGCAAAAAATACAAAAACTGTAGCGAAACGTCACTTCAGGAAACTTTTAAAGCGCTTTCACTTTGAGACGCTCAAGTCAGAGTCGCGTTACCTTTCTTCGAGCTCGCCGACTGTTTGCTGTGAGGCTGACAGCCACGTTGTATTATACTTCCTGCCGGTTTTTTTGTTATCTTCACGTGGTTTGATTCAATCCCACCCAGGAACAACTGCCAGAGCAGCGTGAGCTGCTGCTGTTGTTCAACAGGTGAGGTTGAACTGAAAGCACGCGCGGAGGAGGAAAGCGACGACGGAGGCGGGGCCGACTAATAAAAGTTGTTTTGTGTGGTGGGCGTAAAAGAAAAGCCCCGTGTTCCTCCAGTCCGAGCAAACTTCACCGCCCGGTTCCCGTGCTGTACGGACAAACAGTGAGAGGAGTCCCGTTCACGTCCCTGCACCGAAATGGGATTTCTATTCTGGGAACTGACGGAGCTTTTCTCATTGTGAAGCGGCTCAGCTAGAGAGTCATTCCGGCATATTGCCAGCACGCTGTCAAGTAAAAGGCCAATTAAATACTTCATGACAAGCTCCCATGGGAATATTTTAATAATATAGAGTAGGAAGGACTTGGGGTCACTTGCAACATTTTAAATAGTTTCACAAATTTGAAGGGAACAAAAGCAATTTGCTTCAATCCTGAGCTGCCTTCTTCCACTACTGACATTAAAACCATTACTCCGACCTCCCATTTTAACTACTGTCCTGCTGGAAATCTGTCCGTTTTCGCCCAGGAATCAATAAAGTTACTTTAACCGAACGTTAAACACCATATTGAATTAATTTGTTGATTTTGTTTTGTATTACTAATCACAAAGAGTTACTTAAGTTGTCAAATCAATGTAGTCAAGTCAAAAGTGAAAAATGTGTCCCTGAATTGTAGCGAAGTATAAAGTAGAAGAAATGGAGAAAAAATATTCAAGTTGTACAAGTACCTCAAAACAGCAGTAGTAAATGTACTTATACTGTAGGTGCTTCCAGACCTGTTTATGTCCGAGAGAAACCCTGAGGGGATAAACACTCATTTTGAAGGTGTCATGGCGGCTTCTTACTTGTGACAATCTTAAAGTGAGTGTTTAGAATGTTTCTTGTTTTTCAGGACTCTGCAGTGAGAGTTATACAGAGGTACAGAGGTTTAGGGAGCTCGGCTCATGCCGGATGAGAATTTACAGTTAAAATCAATGTATTTATAAATCGTACAATATGTTGCAACGTAGAACTTCACCAACACATGGGGTCAAATAAAGCATGCCATGGGGTTCAAGTGTCGATTTGTAACCCTGCAAATACCGTTGACATTTGGATCAAAGCTGTCCAATTATGCCTGAAGACTTTTACTATTATGCACCACTGGATGAGGTGTCTTTGGACCTGGTTCTCAGACTTTCCCCCAAAATGGGTTTGGAAGACAGTAAGAGTTTGGGTTTAGAGTTTATTAACACAATGATGAACTTGTGTTTTTGATTCTATCACTGGGGGGGCGCCAATGTTGGAAATTTCCAACTTATACACACAACTCCGCACAGAAGTTTCAGCTATTCTCGCTGATTAGATGTTTGCTCAGATTGAAGATGGGTGAATATGCCTCTGAGAAGAGGACTGCGTAAATCAGTCCCTCATGTACTACTCTCATTATGACAGACAATCAGAAGTTTACTCTACAATGAGCTATTAACTGAAATTTCGGACACAATCGTCCTCAGCTGTAGAGTTGCACAACCTTGATTTTAACATGGATAAAATGCATTGTGGGATTGCTAGCAGAAAGGTTGTTTGTTCTGTTATATTTATTGAGAGCATTATACATTTACTGACAAATAAGATGAAATCATCTGTGTGTGTGTGTGTGTGTGTGTGTGTGTGTGTTTACCACAAATATGCAGGGCTTTTAAGAAAATGTAGGCTTCTTCTTAAAGAAAAAAGTCTTTAGAATAAGCTAACTATGTGAGCTTTGCTTCTTCTTGGTGTGCAAACAGGGAAAAGTCAAACCTGTCTCCAATTAAATTAAATTCCCATTCAACTGAACTGTACTCTGAATTACATTTGGAGGGAAACATATTTTCTTCTGGTTAACGTTGTAAATTAAAAAAAAAAAAAAAAATGCTACAGAACGACTTAGTTCAGTTACCTGCTTGGTTCTAACAGCAGTCTGCTGAGTGTAAGGTCTGTGTTGTTTTATACCCACCAACACCCTTTCTCTTTGTGATACCTCAAAGCAAACCTAATCCACGACTAAATAGGTTTCCCTCGGAACGTAATTCACCTTGCAGTTTTATTGTATGGGAAGGTTATTTTTAGGAGACAGGGCCGGAAAGGGGTGTAACAACTAAACCTGTTCTCCCCTAACAACACAGGACTAATGCAGTGCTAACACATTCAAGACTATAAAGTCACTCAGTCAGTCCTGAAAGAAAAATCATGATGATAAAAATGTATTATAAAGTTGTACAATGTTACTATAGAATACATCAAACTCCCCAAAAGTCCCCATAGGACAGTAGAGTAATAATATAAAGTAAAATATACTATTAGGTATTTCATGACCATCAAGGCAGTGTGACTTACTACGACTAGAAATCTAGAAATCCCGTGACCTGGATGACTGAAGGTATGTACACATAATATGAGTCACAGTGTAAGTCCCTCCAGCAAGTCTTATATTGATCCCAGTAGAGATTAAAATACCATAAAGTATTACACAGTCACTGTAAACGTACCATGGAGTACCACAGCAATGTGAATATATGTAACAAATGTCAGCAAAAAAAACAAAACATTTTGGACTCAATACTACACAGAGATACACTTTCAGTCCCTATAGGAGTATTTTCTTTCAGGTCTGTTGAGCAGAATCTGCTCTTCACTCTGAGGGCTTCATCACCCCAACTGGCCTCTTTACAGCTCTCTCTGAATGAGCTTGTAGTGTAATAGATTCTCTCCAGTGACATGTGGACGGTGTGAGGGAGAATGGGCAGCAGGTTCATGGTGGCACAGTGTAAGTGGGCTGAAAGAGGGCCGGCAGATGGGTGACACAGACTGGGTGAAAGGACAGCTGGCAACTCTGCTTCCCAGCAGCAAAACCGGGTCGAGAGAATAGGAACACTATATATGGAAACCACTGTCTCTATAAAGCAACATATCTTCAGCTTGAAGGCAACAACGGCGCCACACACACACACACACACACACACACACACACACACACACACACACCATCTACCAGCTGTCTCTGTCAGCACTTGAGACAAACAACATGATTTAGACCGCCTCTGCCTCACCTAGTGTCCCCACCGACAGACACCTGCATTGTTTTGTCTTTTTAAAATTCAAAACAGGTTTGTGTGTGTGTGTGTGTGTGTGTGTGTGTGTGTGTGTGTGTGTGTGTTGACAGTATTAACTTGCAACCAGCCAACACGCACCGACTTTCTTTCATTCATAAACAAGTCATCTTCTTTTATTTATAACAAAGTTGCTGCATCTTTTGAGTTTAAAACCTTGCAGGCATTTCCCCACAAAAACATCAAAGATATTCATGTATTGACCCACCGCAAGAACAAAAAGTGTAGCTGAAAGGAACAGGGTCGGATTAAATACACCACACCAATACTGTGTATCAGGACAAGTTGGCCTTTTTATTTGAAAACAGAGACACACCAATCCAACCCTTATGCCTGATACCAATGCTCTCTTTTTCCCCCAATTTAAAATCAGTAAACCTCATTGGGTAAAATTCATTAGGATCATTTTCATGTAAGTTAACATGAGGTTAGGGACTGCTGCTCTAAAAACTGTGATTGAATGAATGTACTAATGGAGGACACACGGAATTTTTCTGACTTATAAGGTCAGCATCAGTGCGATCCAGCATGTCAAATGGTCATAATCTACGCAGCAGAGGCAGAAATATTTTGACTAATGTAGTTTAAACCTACAGTTCACGTAATGTTACTTGACGCTTGGCGAGTTGCTTTTAGATTCACTCAAAAACAGCCCAACAGTAAACAGTTTCAGCCTGGCCCTTAAAAGCTTGTAATCAGTCCAACACCATCCTATAGCACACCATCACATGAGCATGTTTCTGTGGCCGACACTCCCAAACAAACCTGTCTTACTGGCTGAGAGCAGCACATGCAGAACATCCTGAAACCCAGACGCAGACTGCACTGTGTTGATACTCTTCTTCATATCTTACTGAGAGAATGATACACGTCAATAACTCTCATCTATTAAACATCTAGACCAGGGGTCTTCAACGTTTTTCAGGCCAAGGACCCCCAAACTGATAGAGATGGAGCAGGGACCCCCGACTATATATTGTATAAAATTGTGTTTAATATTAAATGGGCCTAGTACCGTGTATACCTCTTTATTGTGCATTCAATACTAAGCTATTCAAATAATACACAGGTTCATATATTCATGTTTTTATTTTAAACATGTGCACGGTACAGTGAGTAGGGAGGCCGTGCCACTGCTATTTATAAACATACCTTGTCAAATGATACCAATGCCAATATCAACATTGTTTGTCAATTGCATGATAGTCATGCATACAAGCTATTCAAATTGATGTTTTAATTTTAAACATAAATGTGGAAACGAAAAATGAGTGATGGCCTATTAGTGCCACTGCCATGCATAAACATACCTGCTATCTTTCATACAATACTGAACTATTAAAATAATGGACAGATTCATGTTTAGAGAAAAAAAAAAATAAATTATTTTATTTTTTTAAATTGTCTAATCAACCAAAAATTTCACGGACCCCCTGTTGAAGACCTCTGATCTAGAGGAACAGATGAGAGCACAAACAATGGCATGTTGCCAATTGAGACTTGGCCCTCTGGGGTTCTGAATGCAAATAGCGTAGTTTGATTTTCCTGCTATGCAAAAGGCAGAGGTTGGCAGTAGTGTGTGTGTGTGTGTGTGTGGCCTTGGCTAACAGGGTCCGGAGTCACTGGAAAGGCCATTTGGTAGAACTCAATAGTCCCAGTTAAGCATTCATGAATACCAAACCTTGAATGGAACATTCCCATCTGAGCTTTTCCTTCTCATAAATTCCCCCCCCCCCCAAAATCATAATAACACAGTTGAATAGAGTCACAAGTTCACATTTCAATGTAATCAAAAGACATTTTTTTTTTACAATATTTTTCCTCATGTACAGATATTCAGATCTCATTTCTAATATAGTTTAAATAGAGATGATTGTATTTTAATGTGAAGCATTATCACGATGATGTCATTAGATGCGCTCCAAATAGACAGCTATGAAAATATACATCTTTGCATTTACATAAATACACACAGAAAAGCACTTTATGGCAAGCAGTTTTTGGTTAATTCTGCCGATATACAAACTTGGATATATGTTTGCAATGTGCACATACTTGGCGAGTATTAATGATTCTGATTCTACATGTAATTGACTTGATTAAAATCTTGCATGTCATTCCCATCTCTACACTGTCATCCGTCAAATAAAGGTGAAAATCAATGAAAAGGTGAAAAATGATCTTTAAGAATAAAATTGAAATCCTCCCGTTAGCGGGACATTCAGACTTCGTGGACTCCGCAAACCAAATTAGCAGGCACTGAAGTATCTGTAGAGTAGGAAGAAAAGAAAACATATTTCAGAATTGAAAGTAAGCAAAATACTATTTATGTGTGAGTCTGTGCATTGAGAGAATTAGTTTTGTTACCCAACAGAGCATGAGTGTAATACTTTTTGATACCTATTTTTTTAGGCTTGGGAAGATTCAGGTTATTCATGATTTTCACAAACTCTTCCAGGCTCTTGGTCAAGCGCGGGTTAAACTTGCGCTCCTCACCGACCGTCGATGCAGTCTGACCTGAAACACAAAGACAGATGCAGCCCGATATGTCATCTAAATGTTTGCCAGATGCTGAATCTCACTGATCATTAAAACAAAGAGAAGAAAACATTTAGTAAATGCAGTAAAATCACATGGTGCTGGCAGATGTGATACACTGTAAATACTTCATACTACAGATATACTCTGATAGTATCAGACTGATACAGTATATCAATTTGTATCAGCTAAAACAAATCAGTGTGCATCAAATATAATTTCTGACAGATATTTGACAGACTGAATAGTAGAATGATACTAAATAGATCAGAAAAATGACAAAGTAGCAACAAAATAAAACGGATGTGGTAGAAAGTTACGAAGTGTATGTACTCAAGTACTACAGTATACTTGAGTACAATTTTAAGGTACTTCTACGTTACTTGAGTATTTAAATGTAATGCTACTTTATCCACTAAATGTCTATGATGGTTTTAGCTACTAGATAGATAGATAGATAGATAGATAATACTTTCAATCAAATAATATATATTATATTGAAATGGGACATTCTGCATAATACGTACTTTTACTTTTGGTACTTTAAGTTGAAGTACTTTGTTGCTAATACTAACAGAGTATTTTTACACTGTATTGCTTGTATTATGAGAGGTATGTCTGAAAAGCTTGACCTGTATGCACTTTGTACATTTGTACAAACACTCTTGTAACAACATGTGTATCACATCAGTGTTGGTTGGAATATACGGGCAACGGCTTTTCAACACTATGCTGGTGCTTAACATCTGTCTATTTGCACAACCAGTTTTTACAACAGTGACTCCATCAGATGTTAGGTAAACATTCAGGCATGTGGGTTTTCATTGAGCCAACCTAAGTAGTCATGTGCTGGGTAGACGAGGCACTGGTCCGGCAGAGTGAAGATCTTCTGATGGATTGACTCATAGAGCTTCTCAGGGCAGCCTGAATTAGAGAGACAACATTTTATTTTTAAGGTTACACCAACTCCAAAAGAAAACAGACACAATACTGCCCTCTTGTGTTCCTCAAGCAGCATTACAAAAATAAATGCTTTCTCTTTGGGCCATTTGATAGATTATAAGTGAAAAGTAGAAGTGTGTGTGTGTGTGTGTACCCTGCTGGAAGTCTGTCCTGCCACAGCCTCGGATGAGCAGAGCGTCTCCAGTAAAGGCCATGCTCTGATCCCCCGACACCAGCGCCACACACCCATCAGTGTGTCCCGGGGTCTCTCTCACCGTCAGATACTACAGGGGGACGAGAGACAGAGATCAACCCAAGGCATGTAATAATTACTTCATCAAGCAACTGCTTGATGAAGCTGCTCCATTAGACTCTTGCGCAGTCGTTTCAGATTGTCTTTATTTTTTGGCTGATTTGATGGATTTCAAGCTGGTCGTGATACCTAGAGTATTATAGTAGTACTAATAGTAGTGTGTTCTTCTTACATGTCTTCCAAAGGTGATCTTGTCTCCCTCTGACAGGTGGATGTCTGCGGAGGCACCGCTGAATTTGGAGATTGCGCTCCTCAGACCAACCAATCTCTTCTTCATCAGCCCAGTGCTTGTGATGTGGTCCGCATGGCAGTGGGTGTTTACTATCAGACAAAGAACATAAGATGTTTTCCCACAGGGCATGGCAACAAATCAATAATGTCAAGTATAGAATGTTTTGTGATGACATGTAGGCCATTGCATTGACCACCTGTGTCATCTTTAATCTTGCATACGTTTTCCATATTGTGTTACATATAGCAATGTTAGAAAATGTTAATATTGTGATAATGAATCCAGCCATATTACCCAGCATTAGAAGTCTATTGACATGAGTAACCCACAACCTACACAGTACAATTGTCTCTGAGCCGGACTTCACTGAGTTCATTGTCTTGGGAAAAGTGAGGTTTGACAAAGATGGGACACTGATATTTAAAAGTTGGTTGACTTCATGGGGTGATACAATAACGCTAAATACAACCACAGGAAGTTAATCAATATACCTGCCACTTTTAGATTGAGCCCCAGTTCATGTATGAGCTTCAGGTCCCTGTCAATAGTCTCCAGTACAGGATCGATGAGGATTGCCTCCTTAGTCTCTGTGTCTGCAAGCAGGTAGGTGTAGGTGCTGGTCTCCAACTCAAACAGCTGGGTGGGAAAAAACAAGGTGTGGGCAAAGGAGTGATACAGCAGTAAATTACAAAGGATGGGTGGTGCACGTACTCCCCGTCGCCCTGTGATAGTGTGTGTTTGTATGTGTGTGAGATAGCGAAAGAGAGGACGGATAAGATTTTATGAAGTGGAACTACTTGTTGTCAAAGATGGGTGTTTTCCAGTTGTAAAGTTTAGAGTGTTAGTGATAAAAGTAGATTAAGTGTTTATAGCCAAAGGATATGCTACATGTTCAATAACTCTTTAGAGGAAACCTGTACTTACACAAAAATACCTATTTGACAAGTCTCAACTCAGGGTCCTCTTACTGGCTTGTTGTAGGGAAAAAAAACGAGTAAGTGGACCCAGAGTTGAGATTGCTTTTTCCAACTGCTGCATCCAAAGGCAAAAATAAACAACTCAAAAATAGCTGTCATCTGCTTTGACGCCGTATCAGACTGGACAAGACGCACACCTCCATGCCCAGTGCAGTGCCACAATGTTACAGCCACAACACTACAAGCAGTGCCACAATGTTACAGCCACAACACTACAAGCAGTGCCACAATGTTACAGCCACAACACTACAAGTAGCCTTGTGAACGTTGAGCTAACATTTAGCTAACTCCGCGTAGCTCACTTCCTAACGTCATAGAAGCAAAAACATTAATGTCAACGGCAGCAAGACAACGTTAATGTGCACATACTTGTCTGAAGAGCAGTCCTTCGGTCAGCGCCATCCTGGAGCAGTACGATCTGCTGGTCGCTAGTAGCGGGACAATGCCAGCACTTATGCCCGGACGGAAGCGTCTGTTGTCGGCCGAGCCCTCGGTGTTTCCTCGGAGACGAAGCGTGACAGCCTGAGCCAGCTGGACCGGCTTCACCCTGCGAATCACCGAGCACATTCTTGTTCGCTATAGTAATTGCCTGACTATATCTTTTGTTTTATCTCAACTGGGACAAATGTATTGTGTCTGGAATTTTTTCCCCCAAGAGAAGTCACAGTTCAGATTCGTTTGGACGGTTCACGCTGGACGCGGAAGCTCCGTGCTATGACAGTTGTTGCGCGACGAGAAGAAGCGCTCTTCACACTTAACGGTTACAGCAAAGTCACGGAGGCATTACCTTTGGCCCAATCCCAATCTCCAGCCTTACGGATTTTAAGGCGCGCTCCCGCAAAGTCCGTGAGGGTTTAGGTCTGTCTGTTTAGGCAAACATTTTGAGCCCTTTATGAACCCTTTCCGTAAATTAGCATTAGATGCAGACTTTGCCTTAGGGAGTTACCCACAAATCATTGCAATGTGACGTTAAACACCGGGTAACCAGTGGACGCATGGAGACGTAAGAAAAGGTAAACAAAGAGGATGGCACACTTGTGTTCAGCCACAGCCTGTCATATTCAATTTACTCAGAAACATTAAGGGTTAAAGATGGAACAAAATACAAACTTGAAATCAGAGGATATTTATTTATTTATTCATCAAATATTTGATTTTGTCATTGAAGCTGTTTTGACAAAAACGAGTAACCTCTCAACCTGTGAGGAAAGAGCCTGGAATACTTTAAAATCAGGGAGTACAAAGTATAAAATAAATACCTACAATTGTACATATTATTTTGCTGTCCCATTCCTATTTACACCATTTCAAGCCCTCACAGTCTCTCACACTCAACCACTTACCAGGTGAGGTCAATTAAGTCCTTGAGGGTTCAGGGTTTAGGGGGGACATTGGGATTTGGCTATTGGGATTACTGAAGGTCTGTTGTAGTGCACGAGCATCACCAGTGCGTGCTCATAAACGCAAGCACGTTCACACCACGTGCACTATAGTAGCGTCCTGCTGCAGCAGTGGCCTACATGACTGTTGACATTTTATCAGGAAGCCTAGATATTTGATCTATATTTGAGAGTTGATAACTGAAACTGATTGTTTTTAGAATATTTTTTAAACACATGACATCTCTAATATTTGTTAATTATTTTTGGAAAATTGTGACAAAGACGTGTACTTTTTTTTTTAGCCCATTGCTATAACAATATACTCAATATTAGTTGTTTCTTTATTTCATAAAAAGCAGATACAGGCAATTTGATTCTTTATTGTCAATTGCCTTCAGTTATAAGCGTCAGGTTCTTGTGAGGTGTCGGTAACGGCCGTTGTGGTCTCCAATTCCTCTGGTTTGTCCTGCAGCAAAAATAGAAAAGTGAAAATGACAGCTTGGCCTGAAATATAGTTGTATATGTCCATAAGGGAAGTGTATTCATAAGTGTATTGTGTAATAAAATAAATTCAGCAAGGCATACAAAGTTACAGCCCACCGTCTGTATAACCATTAATCCATTGCTGGCACCCAGCGTGTCTGAGCCAATATGTGTATTTACTGTCCTGTTTATTGATTTCAACAACACTTGTGCAACCCGTTTAAAATTTAACCTGGGTTGAACATTGAATATTGTGAAGGAGGTGCACATAATATTATATTATATGGCGTTAATAATATAATGTTAGAATAAAATAATAATAATAATATTTGATTAAAAATAAAAACAATACATTTTGGGCACTGGCTGATATGATTTCCATTTAAAAATGTAAGAGCAGAACACAAACAATGCAATTTACTTGACACAGATAAACTAAACTATGTAATCACTGAACAAAGCTTGACTTAATGTGATCATGACACTTTCATATAGTGAAAGACAGAGAGGGGGATCCCTTTATACATTACCTCCATATGTCCTTTAACCCAGGTGATCAGTTGGGTCACTCTGCTGTAGACGCCTGGTTTATTGGGCCGTCCACATCCCTCCCCCCAGCTCACGACCCCGGCCAGCCTCCAGTCCCCACTGGCTGTCTCACACACCAGGGGTCCACCACTGTCTCCCTTAAAACAAGACCCACTCATTTACCAAACATCATACAACATGTTTTAAATAATGTTTTCACCCTTAAGGGACCGATCACCCCACAATTAAAAATACATATACGACCTCTTACCTGTAGTGCTATTTATTATTCTAGATTGTTTTGGTGTGAGTTGCCTAGTTTAGGAGGTTTTAGTTGCAGAGATGTCTGCCTTCCCTCGATTATAATTGGACTACATGGCACTCGGCTTGTGCCCAAAAAAACTAATTGGAAAAACTCAACAGCAATGTCTCTTTCCAGAAATCATGACCTGTTTACTCAAGATAAGCCGCAGACCTTGTCGTGAGTCTCATGCATGGAACTACACCTGCCAACCGTATCACCGCAAATAGGGAAGCGTGCATCTTTACCCAATACCGCTAGCTCATCTAGCACCACTGAGCTAAGGAGGATGCCATGTATGTTAACACCTCGCACTGTCGCGAGGATGAGCCCTCCTCCCTACTGTGCGGTTATATGGTTGGTAAGTACAGTTCAGTAGAAAGAAAGTAGATCCTTCATGAAACTGTTCACAACAAATTCTGTGGGTTATCTTGAGTAATCGGGTCATGATTTCGAGAAAGAGACATTGCTTTTGAGTTTTTCAAACGTATTTTTTTGTCTTTAGGCCCAACAATTCGGATGCCATCTAGTTCCATTATATTGGAGAGAAGGTATATCTCTATGGCCGATATCTCCAAAACTAGGACACTCACACCAAAACTAGATTACTAATCAGCACTGCGGGTTAGAGGACAAATATGTATTTTTTTATTTTCAGGTGAACGATCCCTTTAATGGTGACAGACATGATGCAAGATTTGCTTTGGCAATCTATTGTAAAGTTAAAAGGACATTCCTCCTAAATCGGTATCAGGTAGGTTTATAAGGAGATTTTATATCACTGGGTGAATACCTGGCAGGAGTCCACGCCTCCGTCCATGGTGCCAGCACAAATCATCCGAGGAGTTAGGTACATGCCGTAGACGCTTGGGTGGGAGCAGACGGGTTGAGATATTACCTTGACCTGAGCCTGCCTTAGCTCATCTGACACAAAGCCTGACAGAGCGGCAGCAGGAAGAGAAAGGAGGAAAGAAAGACAATAATTGTTATGCGAGTGGATAAGTTAAAGGGAGGTTCGGGAAATTACTTTTCATTTGTATAAAATCGTTCAGACGGACTTTCAGCCGACAAGCCTAAAAGCACGACCATAAATGAAGCAGCTGCTTCAGGCCTTGTAGCTGCCTGGAGCAAATTACAAGTCTGCTTTTCAATTGGTGTAATCATTTAAATGTTTCTTCTCACGTATCTTTGCATCAGAACTTATAATATGCCAGAAGGAAATTGTATTTAAACTATATATTCTTGAATTGAAACACAGTGTCTTTTTTGTTCCCTTTACTGATTTAAATTTAGTTGAATGTGGCTCCTGATTTTTGCTGTACAGTTATTGTTTACAGTTTCTTGGAGTAGAAGAACGACAATAATCAGTGGGCATGATGTGATGATAAAAGTTTTAAAGGTGGCTGGTGGAGTCAAATAATTTTTAGATCCCCAAACTGTTTGTCAGTTGAGGACTTGCATTTACACTCCTAATTTGATGATAGGAGTATATTATTACAGTGAAAAGGTAACCCCAAAAAAAAAGCACAATCAGAGGGTTTGAGTCAGTGTAACACACCTCCTTCATGGATAAATCCCCAGCCTGTGATCCAACAGGCTGCTCCAGGAGGAAAGGACTCGCTCGGACTGGGTAAACAGACCGGTCGTGCCCCACCTACAAACAGCACACAGTAATCAGATCGTAACATAATCTTAGATTGATAAGCAAAGCAATAAAGACATAAAGGTTATCACAGGACAGTCATGAGACCACATATTTTATACTCAGTTGCAAGATTCAACTTGTTTATTGTCTCTCCTGCTATACAAGTAAAATCATGTGAAATGCTTTCACTGGGACACTCCACCAAAGAAAGAAAATAAAGTGTAAATATAAAAAACATACGATACATACAATACAAATAACAGCAAAATAGAAGCAATACAAATATCCATCAAAACAACAATAAACGTTGCATATTACAGGGGTTGGGTTGCATTGTTGCTTGTGGTTGTCGTGAACGCTGATGAGGGCTGAGATCCTTTACTATGAAATACAAAAACTACAGAGAACTGCTTAACTAATAAGTAACATAACAACTGATCCTATTAAGGAGCATAAAACCTAAATAAATAACCTAAAACTTAACACTAGGGCTTCTCTTACGGCGCCATTTTTGGAAAGTTGTCAAGTTCCTCTCCACACTCACTCCACTCCACTCCACTCCACTCTTTACAAGCTTTACAGCTGACTTTGTCTTTTGTATTCTACTTTGTGAGGTGGTTTTAACTTGGCTTTTAAAAGTGCTTTACAAATATATAAGTTGCTTGTTGGACTGTTTATACTGGTTTACATGTCTTAAAACAGAAATGTTGCAAAGAAATTAATAATCAACAGGTAAGCTGTATTTAACCAAATTAATATTTTTTGTACAGTATATATATATATTCTTGCTTATTGGTTTAAACATTGTTTGTGCAGTTTAAATGTGTAATTTAGTTTACATCAAGGTTGAATAATTTGAATATGTAAATAATCAATGATGTGTCAAATGTCTATGAAATTAAATATTTTATTTGGTGGTACTAGATTGATGGCAAATACAGTGATGTAAGGATATGTTACACCACCAGCATGTTCAAATATTCAGGCCCAGCCAGTCCATGGTGGGTAAAAACAGACAGATGGTGGAAAGAATGAGCAAACCGTGCCATGAGTAGTTAATTTCTTCCAAGACAGGCGTATCATATTTTTTATGTAACATTAATTTAGCTAGATTAAAAAAAGTAGTTAGCTAGTTAGCCTTAGGAAGTTGTTTTTCTTTTAAAAAAGGTTTGGTACCAATACATTATTGCAAATGGTAAACATTGTTTTTTCGAAAATTGCTATAAAAAATAAAGGTTATTATTATTATTAATATTATTATTACTTTTTATTACAGAATTATGGATTCTAGCAGTATATCAGCTATTTTAGGGTAGTCATTATTAGCACATTCTTCAATATCATTTAACTTTAAACACTTCTTGCCAGCGAGGCCTATTTTGGAATGTGTTTCTATCCATGTAAAGGCAAATAAACCTCCAGCATCAAAGCAGTGTAACATGACACATGATGTGTTTTTTGCCGGGCTCTGCCGACAGATGGAACCACCACCTCTAACCTGTCATGTCCATGTCAGTGATGGTGCGCAGCAGGCCCACGTCATAGTCGTTGTTGTATCTGTTGAAGCGAGGGTGGTAGAGGACCTGCAGTGCTCTGTAGCGTTTCCCCAGAGAGTTGTCTGCGATGCTGACTGTGTCCACCACCACCAACCAGTCAGCCACTGCAAGCATGTTGTTCCTGCAGGAACAGCAGTGAGACACAGATGTTTGTAGTCTGAGCTCAAGTTAAGTGGATCAACATGCAATGATCAATGTCTGTCTTTCTACTGTGAGGGATTGTGTAGCTATAAGGTATGGTCATGCTGTTTTTCTTCTGATGATGTCTGATCTTGATATATATACTGCTGATTATCAAGTGGAAACAAGCACTTGATACAACACTAAACGTAACACTAAACAAACACAAACGCACACACACCTCTCTCGACCAGGTGTTGAGTCCAAAACACTATATGTAATCGTAAGCCAATGCTGGCAGAACATCTGCTTTAAAAGTTCTATTTTATTACATTGGAAAAAGTAAATTGTATTTTGAGGTGTCGATAAGAGGTTTCAAAAACTGAGCGTTTATAGTGTTGATAGTTTTAAGCAGGAAATTACACTAAAAACCCTTAAAATGCAATTACTTTATCTATCTGCTTGTCACACCCAAACTGCACTCAAATCTGGTCAACAATGATTTATTTTTCCTTCAGCACTTCAATTTAATGAGCTGCGTTTAGTATGAAGTGATGCTCAAAATGATTGATTGCCCAAAACCCGAAATACTTGTTCAAGGGTAGTAGAGAGGCCCTGCAGACAGAACTGTGATTTTCATTCAAATCTATTGTTCCGGGTGCAAAATGGGCGAAATGCACTGATGGGGTAATTGATTTGCTCTCACTTATTCTTGTTCCTGCTCTTGACTTAGATAAAAACATGGGATTAACTTGCATTTAACGAATTTGGAGTACAGCCCTCCCCTACTGAGGACTGTCAACATGCAGACAGGGTGTACTGCCTGGTTGCGCTTCCCCGTCTTTCTTACTTCCACTCCCCCATGTCCACCTCTTACTCAACAAAGCAGTGAGCTGCAGTGATGACCCAGCGAGGGGAGATGATGGCACCTCCACAGACGTGCTTCCCTCTCCAGTGCATGCTGACCTGCCAGACCCACTTCTCCTTGGCTGCCAACGTCCCCCCAACAATACGCCGGCCATCACTGAGCAGAACTGGGCATTCTGGGTGTGAGATGAACAAGAAGGGATGTATGCAAATGAAAATCGGACACATGTAATAACGCGTGTAAGAATTAGCTTTATATCAGTCCACAAAGACAGTTGAATTCAGTAAAAGTATACTAGCTGTTTAATATAGCGAATGATTATGGTGATATTGCAGTAAAGCCCTTTCCATGATATGGCTGATGGCCATATCTGCCAGACAGCAGATGGATGTATTGTGCAATAATCTTCTGTCCAAGACAGATAAGCAGAGAATCCCCCGCAGCCCTTAATCAGTGTACTTACAAAAAATATATTAATTTTTTACCTGCACCGATGTTGTCTGTCTGGTTCACTGGATTCTTAGACAGAAAAGGCGGCTGAGTTGGTACACTGCAGTTTCCCTTCACGCCACAGAGAGGAGACGATTCACCAAACTCAGAGGGGAATACCAGGAACTTGACTGATTTCAAGAGACAAGGAAAAAAGTGTCATGACACACTAAGTTTACTTGAACAGTAAATAATTAAAATACAAAATCGTCACAGAATAGAAATGATCAAAACACCCAATACAGGTTCTCAAAATGACCACCGACTGTATAAATAAGGACGTCAATTTGAACTTCTCAGTTTTCCTGATGAATCATTTGAATTGTGTTGAGAGATGTTTGAGAGAGGACATATTGGCTGGCATATTGAATGTATAAACCCATTAAGCTAGATTCTCTCCATATTTCATTTATAATGAGGTAGAGTGGGTTACCTAAGAGAGCAGAGGCGATGACCAGCTTGATGATGATAAGGAAGCTCACAATCTGCAGCAGCTCACGGGAGGAGCAGGCTTGAGGCACTGAGTCTAAAAATAAATAAATAAACAAATAAATACATCTTTAAACCATATATATTCAAAAAAAGATTTACTAAATCAGGCCGCATTGCAAGAAATCAACTAAAGTAATAAGATAAGCAGGCCCTCCGTAATGCCAGAGCAGCCTATTGCTCATCATAAATAGAGAAAAATAAGAACCCAGTTTCTCTTCACTGTAGCCAGGCTGACAGAGAGTCACATAGACCTCAGTAGAAATGACTTCATGAACTTCTTTTAATGACACTCTTTCACAACTTTCATTGTTATGCCGATGATACTCAATTATATCTATCGATCAAGCCAGACGAAACCCACCAGTTCACTAAACTTTCAAGCATGTCCTAAGTTGATCGTCAACCGCTCAAAACAAGGTTAATTTCCTGGAAGTGCTCACCACCTTGGCACAAAGGACAGACAAACATCATGTCCTGTGTTTTTTGATTATAAGTTGATGTTAAACTCAGACAAAATTGAAGTTATTCTACTAGGCCCGGAACACCTCCAAAATCAATTATCTAATGATACAGTTTCTCTAGATGTCATTGCCCTGGCATCCAGCATATATATCTATATATATACTGTATATACACACATCACAAAATGTATTCAACACGGTGGAGGAGAATGCCCGACAGAGAAGGTGTGATGGAAGTCATTTCCCAAAACAAGAGACTGAGCTGGTCAGTCTAGCATTTAGAGGCGAGCTGCCGGAGGGTCTTTGTTAGAAAGCTTGTTCAAAAGGCCCGAGTGAACTGAGGACACATCACATCCATAATTTGAGGTAAAGCATGAGCTGCATTCAATGCCTTGTAGGTTAAAAATATGTTGGAATCAACTTTATGCTTGACTGACCTGGTGTACGAGCGCTGGTGTAATGTGCAACCTCTCACTAGTTCTCTGATAAAAGCCTCATGGCAGCATTCTGCAGCGGCAGGAGGACTGACAGTGATGTAGTGGTAAATATCAAGGTGAGTCAATCGTGAACTCTGGAAAGTAATTTATGCTTCTTCACCTAAGCGATCTTTTCCCTGTATAAGTTATATTTGATGCTGTGACATATTGTATACTTTGAATATATAACAACGTGTACCAAACTAAAGAGAAAAGTGTGACAGACTGATAAGCTGGGTTTATCCTCCACTTTGCGCCTGAAGCCGACACAGTGGATTGGTTAAAACAAATGAATGACAATAAGACGAAAGCCTTTAATTCTTTATATTTCTCTCTAAATCATGAAGCAATAAACAGATCGGATTAGGGCAGAGTTTGAAGGGAAAAGAAGACACTAAGAACTGCTTAACATGCTGCATGGTAGGCTACTTTGGTTTGCTAAGTGGTGCTAATTTCCATTTTAAAAGCAAAATTGCAAGACAATGGTGTGGCATCTATCCACAACCTTGCCAAAAGCTACCGGCCTAGATCATTAGCTATCATTAAATAGAGGTAACTGTCAACATAGCGGACACGGCATTGGTTATTAGCACAATTAAATGACATATGATATTTAATATCATAGGTCGTAGAATAGCCCTCTGGGAAAGGATGACAAATTGACCCATGTTGATCATCTTTTCTTTTTTTTCAACCCAATCATGGTTGGTGCAAGGAATCCACTGCCATGAGTCCTTTAAAAAAATACCGTGATCAATAATATCAAAGGCCATTGAGGTTGAATAGTAATAAAATAGATTGCACACCAGCTCTCTGTCACATTATGGTGTTATTACTGAGGCTATAAAACAGCTTCCTCAGCACTCTGTGTTTTGGTGAAACTCTTGAGAAATGTTATTGTATCTATCTTGTCCAAGAGCTGATAAGAAACCACTTTAGAAAGGGGAACAGGAGTAAGGAACATATGGACGGCTCTGTTATTTTGTGGAAACAATGGGTCAAGGCTGCTTTCTACGGGGAGGCTGAAAAATAGCTTACATCAAGAAATTGCAGACTATTCCAGAAGTGAGAGAGCAGTACACAGTGGACAGTAGCAATGATTTATCTTGAAGTGAAAATGCTGGTAAGATACTTTGAGTGCAATATGAAGCCGGGGACTCTGTATCAGTAGGATCGTGACAGGAGATGAAGTAGGAGCGTCTCCAATACATTCAAAGAACTGGCAGGGCTTAGTAGACGGTGAAACCTTGAGCCAAATCTTTGCTGTTTATTATTGTGACTATAAAAGATAACGCACCTTATGTCATCACTTAAAAAAACAAGAGTAGCCAGATTGTACGGGCTAGTCTGTGCAGACCATCAGTGTGTGTTTATTGCTCATTTCACATTGCAACAAAGTGACCTCTGTGTTTTCTGTGAAACACCTTGAATTGCACAAACCTGTATTAAAGGTGCCAGCAGTAGATATAGAGTTACAGATATGTATAAGGTTATTATTTTGATGGAACAATGATTAGACTGAAAGTCTAGGTTGGGCAACCTCTTTGACATGAAGTGCCGGTTTTAAATGATCTCGTTAATCAGTCTGGCACATCAAGATTAAGGTTAACATTGGGTTGAATTATGACACCACATCAAAATTTAAATCCTCAAAGGATCTGCAATTTTATTCCATCCATATAAGTGGCACTAAAAGTTAGAGGATCACCAAAGTTCTAGCTCCAGTCTGCCCCATAAAGAAATGCCTTGGAATAATTTTAATAAGGGACAAAACCAAAATGTTTCCACGTACTTTAGGCCATGTAGTGAAGATAGCAGGTTCAAACATCTAATGGAAAGCCCTCCCTGATTAGTGGGAGCTGTTCTAGCAGCAGATTAATGCCCATGTTTTTTTAATGAAACTGTCAACTATCACATGTGAGTGTAATGTTTCGTTGTCCATGTAGTGGTTCACTCATATATACACGTTTTAATCGTGTTTGGGTTCAGTGGGATAAGACTGTGTTGGATTAAAGCATTGGGCCAAAACCTTGAATTATTACCTTGTTCTTCATCAGTTTTGGGTATCATGAGAACTACTGATCCCTCCTCCAGTGGGCCTCCATCTGACGGTTTCCTCTGCTGTACTACCTGGGGATTATCAGCACAGGGAAGTGGTGAAGGCAGGGTTTTTTGATCTTGAGGTTCTGAGGAACCAAAGGGAGAAGAGGAAGTTCCTGAAAGTTGAGGCTCTGGGGTTACTTTATAACAAGATGGAGGCTCTTGGTATAAGTTTTCATTCGCTGAGGGTTTATAGTGAGGCATGAGTGTGATGACTGTGGAAGGGACCAGAGACGATACACTCAATACTTCATGACTGGTTGGACTTTGAAAAGATGTTGATGTCCAGTGCTCGAGGGACGGATAGAGTGATGCAACAACTGCATCAGAAGCGCTGGTGCTGCCTGCTTTGAGCTGCGAATCCATACTGGTAGCTGCCATGAAATGCAAAGTCCGTTCAAAGTTAGGGTTCATGTTCTTTGGCGTGACAGTGTATAGCTTGTGGGGTCCAGCAGTTAGCAGCATGTGTATGCTGGTCTGGATAAGATCTACTGGCTATCAGACATGGCTGAGCTGAGTGGAGGGACACGGACGGGGAAGGAAACCCTGAAACCTCAGCTGAGTCCTGAGAAAGAAACAAAAGCAACAACAAATCATGAGCTTGGGATAATGTTTCTGTGAGTTATGTTAAGATATTGAGTGCGGATATGCTCACATAATATAAAATAAGTCCCATAGGGCTTTTTAAAAGTGCATTTTAATATATATCAATGCTCAACAAATAAGTTTCGTAAATTACATCTTTTTAAGCAAATGTCAGATTGGATCTTGGCAATTAAACTTTGTTAAATTATGAGTCAGAATTAAAATGATTTCCCAAAAGACTTAGATAACATTCAAATAACAAGCTTGCTCTGAGAACAATACTAATAAAAAGAAAAAAAAGAAATAAGAAATTCATGAGGAAATGCAAAACAAGGCCACAAAAAGTACTCTCGTGAGAATAAAGAGTTATGTCACTAAAGCTGTATGTCCTCCATCGATTATTATCTGCAGCAAAGGACATCTGTGATCGCATACATTGTTTGTTCAATTCACTACACTCTCTACCACATCCTCACATCTCACCACATCAGTGCACTCTAAACTTCAAGCGCTCTCACCTGAATGTCAGCCGTACAGATTTCAGCTTCATTTGTATGCGTGGGATTATTCAGCCGAGTGTGTCTCCTCCACACTTTTTTATTAAACCAGCTTTATACCTTAGTGGGGAAAGGAAATGCATCACAGACGCACCGTCAGTGACTAGACACCGAAGACGCCCGCTTGCTCTGGAGCATCTTTAATCCAAAGATATGTCATCTGTTACCGGGAATCCATCATCTTCACATGGCACAGGTTTCTGCAGCTTGTCACCTCTTCTCTTGCGATTCTACCTCTTTCCTCCTCCTCCTCCTCCTCTGCTCTTCTCTTCTCTTCAGTTACCACTTAATCCTTTCATTGTGTCACAACCTTCATCATCGTCCTCCTTCTCCTTTCCGTCGACTCTTCCTCCCTCTCCAACGTAATCTTTCTCCTGTGGTCAGAGCAGGAGAGGCTGTAGCAGTCAGGTCAGTAACGGATACGTGCACTCTTGTCATCGGGCTTCTATGAAATATGCATGGGGATAATTGTGAGCTTGGGTCAGACTTTAACGACAGAGGGTAATGTACACCAAACCAATGAGTTGCTCCCACTCACAAGTACGGAGGAACACAATGGCAGCACGGACAGACACACATTCACAGAGTCCAAGAGTTGAGTTTCTCAAAGCTGAAAGAAATGTATCCAATAATCATACCCGAATGTGAAGAGGCGTAATTGTTGTTTATGTGTGTGTTGTGTGCGTGTGTGTGTGTGTCCAGCCCTCTCAAGGGTATTTTGTTCGTCCTATCACATTACCGTCTCAGACAGTGGGGCGTGCTGGCCGCAACAAGGAACCCCAGCCATGGTGTTACTCAGCATGTTCTAGGTTACGCTGCTGAATTCACTTCAAATAGACATGACTACATCCCCTGTGGCCTGGTATTCCGCTGCGTCTGCAACACTGTAAACATGGCGTAACAAAACAACATTTTCCCAAAAAACTGAAAGTTGCATTTCACAGAGCAAAAGACAGAATGTCTAACAAGTGCTATCGCTATCTGTGAGGCTTTTAGCTAAATGCCAAAAGATGAGGATCGCCAAAGTCAGTAGGATTCATCCTCTGGGGAACATGAATGTCTGTAAAAACCCATCCAATATTTGTTTGAGATATTTCAGCCTGGAACAGAGTGACCAATGGACCGACAGTGCCATCCATGGAGCCATGCAGTAAGTGTAAAAAATAAAACAATAACAGCAAACAAAGTATGTAGCCTACAAACTACTCTCCTCTGGTGTGATGTCATCGCTTTCTGTTTTGTAAATGTGTTTTGTGAAATGTTCTGTTTTTACTTTGCTGTGTTCAATTTCACTAGTCTTCTATTGTCTTGCAGTCACCATTGCTAAAACGTTTCCGGAGCTGCTGCTGTTATTATTTAGTCAAATGTTTTTGTGCACTGGGCTGCCTCACACAAATGGTCTATAATACACAAACATTCCAACGCTTACATTTTGAAAATGACTGAGTATTGCTTGCTTGTTGTTTATAACATGAGTGTAGAGTCGCACATGACACTGACTGACTGACTGAATGAATAAATAAAGTATGCAGGCTTCATTTGCTCCCATATTGGTGTCAGAGTTCTTGTTTACGCCACTCAGGCTGACTGGTGGCAATTCGCATCAATCTGAACTCCTCGGATACATACAGCTCTCAAGCAACCAGCAGCCCTTGAGGTAAAACAGCATTTGCAACTTACCAGCATTTGTTTTATCCTGTGCAGACAGGCACATCAGTGGGGCTTACTGACAGGACGAGCAGAGTTATACTGTCAGGAAGTTGTCATTGACAGACAGTAAACTGAACTTTTATATCCTTTCCTGTGACGGCTAATCTTTCTGGCAAATGAGTGCTTGAATCTTTCATGACGTATGGCTCGTGATGATAATCCATTGTTGAATTGTTGATTAGTAATTGTAGGTTTGCCTCGAAACCTTTCACATGTGGTACCTTCAGAAAGAACCAGGTGTGTGGTTTCCCTTGTTTCAAGTCTTTATGCTAAGCATTCCAACGCTTAAGTTTTGAAAATGAGTTAGCTGGTTGCACTTCCATACATGCATTGCACTTGTACTTTGTAGATATGTTTATTTATTATATTCTACTTATTTTATTTCATTAGAAATACAATGTACACTGAGCATCTGTAGAAAAACAAATCCTTTGGGACGAATAACGATTGAAAATTTAACAAATTAAGCAATGACAGAACGTATTTATTATTATGGTTTGTACAAGGCTTGCAATCTCTCTTCTAAACCAGTAAAATGATTATTTACAACACTACATTTTACATTTATTTAAAGCAAAAAATGTACAAATTTACTAGGTGAAAGCTTTTTTCACTGTCTGCTGATTTCGAACGTGCGCTCAATCACCAAATGAATAATTCTGCCTTGATGCAACTTCAGTGTGTTTTCAAAAAAGTGTATATAATGATCGAGCCTTGGGCATGAGAGTTAAACAAACAAAGAAACGTTTGTACTGGACTCCTGGGTTTTTTCTCTTTGCCTCGACTTGTTCCAGTCCTCTGAGAAAGACGAGCACATGCGCACAAATAACGACATGCTGATTGTTCAGGATTACAAGAAAGTACAACAGCTGAAGTCTGACACAAATCATGTATTAGAAAAGCAGTCACGTCTAAGGGAGTCTTTCAGTCTGGATGCTGTGGAGACATCAGTCCTCACATATTCCCCTTAGAGTCTGTATGTACACAACACAGTGCATGTCTTCTCCATAAATATTTCCAGCCTTGTGTGTTTTCTTGTAGCTGTCTTTTACTTGTCACACTCTCTTTTTATCATCGTCTAGTAGCGTCTTTTCCTGTCTTCATTCTCACTGAATGACATGTTTTCTGTTTTTCTTCAGTCTTCTCTGAGAAGCTTGAACTACCTAACGCATCAGTTGCCAATCTGTTGCCCCCCCCCTTCCTGCGTATCAAAACTGCAGACTACTTGTTTTTCTCTCACCTCTGATGTCAAACCAACGTCAGGCTTTTTTAAAAACCCTGACAGTTGACACTTCTCATCTCCCCAGCTCTCAGCAGTGCAGGATCTTGATGAAGGCTTTGCGAAATTCGATGTTGAAAGTGGTGTAGATGACAGGGTTGACGGCACTGTTGAGGTATCCCAGCCAGGTGACAGCGCTGTACAGTGAGGGCGAGATACAGCAGCTCCTGCAGTGGGCTTTCAGCACGTGGGTCAGGAAGAAAGGCAACCAGCAGATGATGAACACACCTTGGAAACAGAGACAGGAAGTGGTTTAGAGAGGACCAGTGAATGAATGTTTTTAGCGCTACATGTATGTGGCACACATTCTGCAGGGATATAATTAATGAAATAACCCGCCTACTGTTGCATTTGTATTTCACACGGAACCATGAAATTGCTGAAACAGTACAGAAATAGATAAGTAGTGAGCTTCATCAATCACGGTAGCGGTGTCACGTTAATCAAAAAACAGATGAGGTCGGCGAGAAACAAAGTACAATTTGAGTGAAAAGCCAGAAATAATGGAGGCCACAAAAATTGGCGCCATGGATGATTTGTTAGATTTGACGTGTGTCTCACTATATATATATAGTAAATACAACTTTTTCCAAATATGCATTCAAAACCCATTTTTTTCAGTTTTTACCAATGTTTACAGAAACAAGATAGAAGACACAGATGAAAACGAGATGCTCTTGTAATGAGCCCAGCTTACATGATGCCTCTGGAAACAGAAAGTGAGTTAGAATTGATTTTCTCATATGCAATTTACATTTTTTTTAAGTTTAAAAAATGAACTCTAGATGAAGACATAAAAGGAATCACACGTCATACGGAAGGTAATGTGAGGTGAGATATTTAAGAAATTACAGTTATGTCATTGTATTTGCATATGCAACATCGCCAGATATTATTAGACTGAACACATTATATGGTATCGTATGTGTACATGGTCTAAAGATGGAGACCTCATCAGTTAGTCTGTAACCCCCTCCACTCACCGAGCACGATAGCGAGCATCTGTGTCGCCTTCCGCTCCTTCTGCTGCGACAGCCTCCCTCTCACCCTCTCCTTGGTGATCCCCCATTTATCTCTCCCTCCATTGCGCTCCCTCCATCCCTCGCGCCCCCTCATGCCGTCCTCGAGGGTGGGGGGGCGGGGCATCAGGGCCGATCGTGTCACGGTGGATGGATGAACCGGGGCAGGTCCAACTGAGATGGCCAGGGAGATCCTGGCCCGTCCCGAGTGGGAGGCGGTCTGGGGAGCAGGAGGAGGAGCCAGGCTCTGCTCGGTCTGCGGCAGGAACCGACCCGCCTCCACTTCGAGGGGGTGAACCACCGCCTCCTTCACCAGGGTCTGACACGCAGAGAGGGAGGAAGGAGGGTGGTGAGGGAAGTAAGTGTTGGGGGACAGACAAAGGTGTGGATGCTGGATTGCAAACATGAAACAAAGGCATTTATTGATGTAAGATCAGACAGACAGAAAAGAGACAGCGAAGACAGAGAGGCCATTTATGATGCTGAGAAACTCACCACTTTCTTGCGCTGTGGGCCAGCGGTGGCGGGCCTCAAAATCAGGGTGCACAGCTTCACATCCTCTGGTTGTGTACACTTGCTCTGGAAGGGAAGGAAGTAGCATATAAAATGTATTCTTGGGAAAAACCCAACCGGTACTGGATTTTTGAAGTTCATACTGATATCGATATTTGAACAGCAAAAATAATGAAAAAAGCGATTAAAATATATTTGTGAGTAAGAATAAACAAATAAAGAAACATTTTTGATAAGGGTCTCATACATTTGTTTAGGTTATTTGTTACAAGCCAAATTCACACCAAAATGCATATTTTACTACTGTACAAAATAACTTAATTAATTGAATACTTACCTACTTAATTTAAACAAGTAATAAGTAATAAGTAAAAAGCTAATATAGTGAACATGCCGTTGTATTGATCAGGGTCTATTCTAGACAACATGTAGCACATTCACTTTAGTTTGCTAGTAACTAAAAAAAAAAAGCTTTTGTCCTTTTGATGCAACTATTTGAAATATCGAGTTGCTTACTGGCCCAGTTATTACAAACTCATTTTGCACATTGTTGTCAAAATCACAGAACTTTATTTTAAATTCTAGTGGAGGTGCCACAGTTTCCAAAAACACCAAATATGTCAAACTGGATTTTGGAGAAAGGTAGATACAATTACACACAAGACGTCAAGATTACTGCTACTTGATAGAACGGTGCAGAGTCTTGAGGTTGAATATTTCAGTCAGTGTACACACCCTAGAGCTGCAACGAAGAGCTGGAACAAGCTGATACAGAATATGTAATGTGTCAGAGGTTTTAAAATATGGATGATGGATAAAGCAAACACTCAATGAAAAGCAGATTTGAAAACCTAAGTGATATTTTTGCACATGGAATTCATGGACTTTATCTAAACTTCTTTGGTGGTATAATCAATGTTGGTGCAGGCCAGGGGGTCAATATCTATCAATGGTCAAATTTGCTGGAAGAGAAAATAAAATCAACGGTATAAGAAGCATCACAACACTGGTTTTCAGTCAACGACCAAATCCGTGACTCTCTACCTTCCTGTGTCGGTGACCTTCTCCCGCCTCAGCCGTGCCTTGTGTGTGCAGGCCGTGTCTGTGCGGCGGGGCGGTGCGTCTGCCTCGCTTGCGCAGCACCACGCAGATCTGCGCATACACCAGCAACGTGACAATGAAGGGGACGTAGAAGGAGGCCACAGATGAGTACACCACGAAGGCCGGATCGGCAAAGCTGCATGTGGTGCCATCCCGGCTGGCTAATGCACAGACGGAAAAAAAAGAGGAAAATGTAAAGAATTAACATTGTTCAGAAACTTTTTTTTGCCAATGTATGCATATATTTTATCGTCTAATCCAAAACATGTTGAAGGAATAGTTTCTGGGGAATACACATATTCTCTCTCGGGCCAAGAGTTAGATGAGGACATCAATACTCATGTCTGTCTGTTAAATATTGAGCCAGAAGATGGTTAGCTGAGTTTGGCATTAAGACTGGAAGCAGTCTGGCCTGACCCTGTCCAAAGGTTAAAGATAAATCAGTGCCCAGCCAAGAAATATTCCAGCTCTTAAGCGCTAGTTTTTACACTTTGGTTTTTGTACAGATTTGAGATACATCATGTAATCAGTGAGCCTAAAGGTGCTTGAAGTTGTTTTTACCTCTTAACAGAGCCAGTCCAGCTGTTTCCCCCTTGTTACCTTTCGAACAGCATGGTGTAATCTATGCGCACCCTGTTACTGAGGAGAGTGAAATATTTGTTCGCAGTTTAAATCATTCAGTATCTTGCTGTGTTTGGACCCACAACTGAAGCTCACATAACTACTTGTTTTCCATGTATTCTCAAGTGGCCTTTCAGTTCAAGGCGAGCAGATTCACAGTCCCTCCTCGTAGCTGCCGACATTAGGCAGAGGTCAGCAGCCGAGCATCTTCCCTCCCTGCTCCTTTTGTGAGCCAACAAACAAATCGAGGATTATGTGTTCTCGCTTGTTCGCGGGGCAGATGTCACCTGTCATCCACTGGATGAGAACAACATATGAGAATATCCCTGGATGGTGTGTTTATCTGTGCTAATGGGTATTTAAGTATAACGTCTGCCGACTCAGTGCATGTTAAGGCCTGTTGACTGAGCAGACGTATGGAATTTGTTCAAGGATTGATAAGCAAATCCAGGGACAGATGGATCAGGATATTGCAGAGGCATTGTGCGCATAAGAAAGTGTGAACGCTGTTCTATTAGTGAGTTAAATTACACCTCAGAGAACGATGGCACCCAGCTGAATTAAGAAAACATCCCTTAACAGCTGTGGATTAAACTACCCATGAACGACCCAATCTTCCAAACTAGCCTAAATCAAAAAGAAGAAACTTTAACCTCAACCTGCATTGGTGTGAAACAGACCAAAGGCCCCATTCAAGCAACAACCATAATAAATACATCCTGACGCCAAAGACGCTTCCCTTCCAGTGGCTTCGACAGTCGATGCTGGCCCTGCAACAAGGCTCTTTAATGGAAGTGAAATGGAAGATCCCCAAATTCTCTCACGAAATACGAAAAAAAGTTTTGTAATGTGTGGCTGGGTGGCAACTATTGAGGGGAAGGGTGTCAGATTACCGGTGTTGTTGAGTCCAAACAGTAAAGGGCAGGAGATTGCAAAAGAGAGAAACCACACCACAGCAATCATCACCGTCACCCTCCTCCTGGAGCTGTATCTGGTGTTGTAGAGCATCGGCATGGCCACCGCTGTGTATCTGCAATAGTACACACACAAATGTATACATAAAGCACACAGAAAACACTTTAGCATGCCTCTCACACACCGACTCGTGGTGCCTGCATTAGAACACAGTAGTCAATACAGAGTAAACACATACACTATTAATGCAGCTTCAGACTTCATTATCTCATCCACATGTTCACACATATTTTAAAGTAAACACTCAGGCACTTGATACAGAACAAAGACAAACAATCTCCCAGTTTCCCCCTCTAACAGAGTAAAGCTGTCGCTGCCTGTTTCAAACACACACACACGCACACACACACACACACACACACACCTGTCAGCATGTCAAAACCAGTTAGAGTTGTCGTCTTCTTCAGCACACTGCTGTAATGCCGACTGAAAGCAGAGGGTCATGGACCCAAACACAGAGTCACAGACTCTACAGGAGTCCAAATCTCCAACATGCCGTCTTAGGATATTGGAGGTGAAGCATTCTAGTGTTTATAGCTCAGGAATATATCAGCTGCGAAGGAGTCCTTTAGCAGTTATGCAGGTATTGTGCAGGACAATGGCAGTGATAAAGGACGTTTTAAAGGTATACAATTATATTTTGTAGCTGTGTACAGCTACAGGACAAGAGGGCAATATTACATTTTAACATATTTTAGTCACAGTATTACATCATGCTAGCGGCTCTGTGTGGCTGTACTATACAGCGGTGCTTTGGGCTAAATATACCCAACTTCAACACACTAACATGGTCACAATGGCACCGCTGGAAAGACTGCTACTGCTACACAAGATCCCAAAACATTAAAGTTAAAAAAACACATGATCAAGCTTAACTGACTCCAACCAGCTTCATCATATCATGTGGAATTCATGTGTCATGAATAGAGACACTGGAATAAACTCACTCCAGTGTATTTTGATAATAAATAACACTTAAATAGTCAAGTTCAATCATTTATATCAAAAACAAAGGAACACGAGTTACCCAGACAAACATTGGGCATAGCCATATGACAGCACATTGTATACAGTAAGAAACACTTAATATGATGACCCTATTTAGGGCTCCGACTCTTACACTATTCATCTGAGCACCCTCACATTAAAGTCGTCAGCACTTTAACCTTATAATCACCGTTTCATTTTAAATTGCCAGGGCATGAAGCCAGGACAACTTTCTAACTGCAGTGTGTATTTTATGGTCTACGGCTCTGACAAAGCAATTAAACTCTATCCTTAGTTACTGGTTCAGCCTCAATGTGCCAGAGTAATTAGGGTGCAGCTGCTGAACGGCCTGCCAGCTGGGCGTCTGGTCACCTTCCTCGAGACCCATGAAGAGGGCATCAGGTGGAACATCAAATCACCAAACGCAGTCTATTTGATCCACAAAGAATAAACTCTATAATGACAGCAGAGGACATTGTAAAAGACCCAGTAGAAGCCTGTCGTTTCCCGCTGAAAGACAGACGACTACAGAACGTGGGGCTCCTGTCCTGCTGCTCTGTGACAGTTGGATGATGGATGCATCTTACAAGTTTTGATGTGCATTTGTTACATGTGTTGCTTTTTGTCTCCCCCCAACCTGCACCAATCCCGGCCAAGGTTAGGGGAGGATACAAAATAATGAAATTACACTGTCATCTTTGATATTTCGGTCTTCGTTTTGGATAAAAGTCACAGTGAAAGGAAAGAGAAACACGCCCAGTGAAGAAAGTAAAGTAGAGGGCAAAGTTAAAGGGAGAATCCACCTGTCAATGCTGATGGCGCAGAGGTTGAGGATGCTGGCGGTGCACATCAAGACGTCCAGGGTGAGCAGGATGTCACAGTGGATGAGACTGAAGCGCCACTCCCCCACCACCTTCAACAAAACACACTCACATTAATGCAATGCAATACCGGGGAGCAGCGTTAATATTTACCAGGCTGAGGCACTTAATATTTCATTCAGTTTTCTTTACTGTCAACCACGATGATTTGTTTCTGAACTCACCCAATTCAACCCTCAAATATTTAGTTTCATTTAAACTCTAAATATAATATAATATATATAATATAATGAGTACCTTAAATATGCATAGCCTGTGAGACATTGTTTGTAATCATCTGAAAGTAAATTTATTAACTAAGTAAACTGAAACTGCTTCAGTGATTATTGGCATCAACAGCCTGGAACTGAAACAATTAGTAGTTGTAATTAATAACAAAAATACCAAATATTTGCTGATTCCATCTTCTAAAAGATGATTTGCTTTTAAACTATTATTCTTTGGTTTTTGGTCTGTTTTTCGGAAAAAAATGAGCAATCTGAACATGTTCCCCTCAGGCTCTGGGAAGCTGCAGCAGTGTTTGAGATTATGATGTAGAAATTGCAACCGGCTGGGAAGAATGAAGGACGTGACATAAATGTTGCAGGCACAGGGAAGATTCATTACAATGCTGGCAGAAAGCTGGCAGTTAGCGTATGCTAATGTGACAGGCGGTTTGTTATTGAGTTCAACCTTGCATGTAAGTGCATTGTCGTCCTGTAACCATATGTCTTAAAACATAGTGTCAAACGTCAGTACATTGTCAGGTTCACTCGTCGTTCTCACACCTCAAAGTGACGCCTTCCTCCTGCTCTCTGTATTCAGGCGTTTGTTACAGAGCAGAAAATGAATCTGCAGCTATTATTACTTTTTCATTTGCTGCATTTCTTTGTCTAATGTGATAAACTGAACATCTTTTGGTTTTTGACTCTTGGCTGGACAAAACAAACAAGTTTAATGACATCGCCTTCAATGTGATATAAAAGGCATTTTCCAGTATTATCGAACATTTTATAGATTCATTGAACTAGGCCTACAACGAACAAATATGTCTCACTATTAATTAATCTGCCGAATATTTTCTTAATTATTGATTAATAAGTTTGTGTATTAGATGTCAGGAAGAAAAGCTGAACATGTCACTTGTTTTAGTGAACAGTCTAATCCTTAAATATTCAGTTTACTATCATATATGACAAAGAAAATAAGCAAATCTTCACATTTGAAAAGCTGGAACCAGAAAGTGTTGACAGATTTTCTCTAAAATGGTGAATCAATTATCAAAAAAGAGGCCAATTATTTTTATTTCTATAATGATTTACCAACTAACCGAGAAAATAATCATAAAATGAAAATAATGACATGCTGCAGCCCTGGTCGGTTACATAAATATTGTTAACATATCAAATTACATTAAATTGCCATCTGCTATTAATATCTGTTCTGTAACTGCTGCACAGAAATCCGCTGCGCAGATGTTTTGCATGTGTTGCAATGGAAAATAAACTTTTAGAGAAACAAGCACACAATCCACAGCATTTTTTTTTCCATATTTAGATCCCACTGCAGCAAGCTGAGGGTGTTTTCAAAATAATACACACACGCACACGCACACACACACACACACACACACCTCCAGGTAGACGCCCCAGGGCATGACCAGCGTGGCCAGCAGCAGGTCGGACACAGCCAGCGAGACGATGAGGTAGTTGGTGGTGGTCTGCAGAGCGCGCTCCCGCGACACGGCCACACACACCAGCACGTTACCGAACACCACGCAGAAGATCAGGAGCACCAGCAGCACCGCGTAGAAGTTGTACAGAGGAGAGGGGGCTGACGGGGAGCTGGTGCAGTTAGAGGACGTCAGCGAGGAGGAGGAGGAGGTGGGGAAGGAGGAGGGGTCGTGGGTGATAAAGTGGGAGAAATTGTGCTCAACGGAGGAGAGAGGGAAGAAGGGAGGGGAGGTCTCGTCTGACTCGTTGAGCGAAGTCATGATCTTGCTCCAGTGGACATAGTCAGGCTGGAAATTGATGACACAAACAGAGGAGGAGAGAAATAATGACCATGGGAGCCTTCATGGGCCGCTGTGTGCTCGATTCAGCATTTCACAGTAGATCCAACAGTTTGGCTTCTGAGTCTGACAACAGAGGAATAGAAAAGAAAAGGTTATTGTTGCACCGGGCTGAAAACGGGGTCTTTGGTCTCAGCTCAGAGATACAACTTAGCAGGACACCACACACAGGTAATGCATGCAATCACCACACCTTGCCTATACATACACAGTCATGGTCACTGACTGAGACAGAGATGAAAGAGCTCTCAGATCTCTACGTGCTCTAAAACGGTTGATTGAGAGGAAGTGACTCATATTCATGGACGGGAAACTACAGTCACTGCTTTTGTACAAATAAAATCATTTTGACTCGTCAAACTTAACTTCATGATAAGTTCTGAAGTACAAACAGTCAACAGACAGAACAGGTTGATTTAAAAAATAAAGTTATTCTTCGAGCAAGACTTTCCACCCGTTGTCTGAGTCGCTTTGTGATGCAGCATTTATCTGATATCAAAGATTTTCACAGTAAAGTAAGACACAGGATAAACACAGAGAAACAGCTTAAACCCAGAACCATAAATTATAATAGATTATCTGCAGAAAACTGCAAACTCCTGCTTACCATTCGTAACCCGCTACTGAAGGTTTATGTGCTTCTGCAGAGAGGAGGCATGATGAGGATGTATGAGAACTGTTCTTCCATTCTCTTATCTCTCTCTATCCCACTTCTCTGACACACTCCAACAACCAGGCGGTATAATAGCATGCAAAAAAAAAAAGCTGCATCCAATATTTATCAGCGACAAGGAAGTTGAAACGGACTACTGGCTTGCAATATCTCTCCTGTCTAAACATTCCGGCCGGTCCCAATTTTAAACCCACTGGCCACAGCACCTGACATTATCCCTTGTGGCACATGTATTGATTTCACAGGGTTATAGATATTGATTTGATTCAGTGGAAGAGGATACAAACATTATTATTGTGGTAGAGGTCAGCCCAATTCTACAGGAGGCAGCAGCGTGCGGGAGCGAATAGGAGGGCCGGCCTTCAGCTGGAGGAGCTTGTTTCTGTGAAGGCGAGTGCGTGCCCGCGGAAGTGTCCTTCAGTAACTTGTTGGGCGGCTAATGGCCAATTTATCTGCTTAAAAACTCAAATAAAAACAAAAACAACAAGAAAGCATATGTGGCTCCGCCCAAGGCTGCATAATCTTGTGAATGCATTATTTTTGGTGATAGAAATTGATGAGAGAACTTGAATCTGGATCTGCATAGATCTACAGACAATCACAAGATACATAGTTTGCACTGTTAGCGTTGTTAACACTGTTAGCTAAGAGCTGGCGACTCGCCGTCAACATGTTGAGAGCCGTCGAGAGGCAATTTAATTGCTCCCTATCGCGTATCTTGCACCTACTAGATGGTCATTCATGAGTAAATAGCTAAATGGTTGCAATGTCAAAAAATTAGTTGCAAAAATTCTGAATTAGAGCTGAAATTATTAGTCAATTAATCAATTAGTTGATTGACAGAAATCAGCAAACATTCCATAATGGATTAGATGTTTCAGTCAGCCTTTGTTCGGCATACGATAGGACATATATCTTTGGGTTTTGTACTGTTGGTCAGACAAAATAAGTCATTTGGGATGAGCATTTTTGGGGTATTTTATAGGCAAAATAAAAATGATTTAAAAAAAGTTAACAGATGAAACTATTCTAGAGACTTCATTGCAGTCCTAAACTGAATCACTTGTTTTTTTAGCTGAACTTTCAACCAAAAGTTAATTGAACGAGGCAAACAAATACATACAGTGTAATCTTCCAGCACTGTTCATGGAGTTGAGCTAAACTCAGCTGATTTCACCTCAGTTTCCTTCATAAATGTGTTAAAAAGATGTCAGAGAGCGATGCCTCAAAGGCAGAGTACCACACCAGGAAAAAGCTGTTCGCCAATAACAGACTGCAGTGTTGTGCTTCAATAAAGCTTAGGGTCAAAGTAATCAGCAGAGTAGAAGATGAAGGCAAGCTTTGCCCAGAGCATTAATGTTCTTCCTCATTAAAAAGAAGTTGACTTTAAAATAAAACTTTTAGAAAAAAAAAAGAAAAAAAAGTGAAGTTAATAATTTTCAATGCTCTTCAAAAGTTTGGAGACGCCTGCCACAAACGCTTGATTGGTTACAGTGATGGCTGAGAGACTCTTTAATGCTGTCAGGTTGTAGAAAGTCCTCTCTACAAACAGATGTTACTTTGTATGAAGGGTTTGTTTTGTACATGGAGTACACAACGCTGTACAAGGGTTCAACAATATTGTGAGAAGACAAAGACAGTTCACTAAGAATAGAATCAATTATTGGTAAAAGGAAATGGAGGCGTAGCATTAAAATGTGAGCAGAATGAAATAGGAACAGGTTCCTGTTTTAGTGTCAATAGCGCCGATAACAAGATGGAATGAACAGCTGGGTGCTGCTTTAGCAGAGCTATGAATCAAACTTTAAAATAAAAATAGAAAGTTAGTCTCAGGTTACCACTATTGGAATTTGATCAGGGAAGCTGAGAATACTATGGACTGACAAATTACAATTTAACGTGTCCAATCTAACCACTAGACTGCAGAGGGGACAAAAAAAAAAACCCGGCTTCCCAAAATATTTAGAGCCCAGCTGCACCGTTGCGGTTCAATAATTATCGAGTGTATCAGACGCTCTTCTGGGAAGGAAAACAAATTGGAAATCAAAGTGTATTTGGTGGTGAAGAAATGGTTCTACAGGAGTCTGACCTGTCATGCATCACTGTGGCGACTTTGACTAAGTGGAAGTTTTGATTAGTTTATTCAACTTTTGGGACAAAAACTATTTTAAATGTAAATGACACATTTGGTTTCTGAATTATAAACATCTGTTTATAGCTGTTGAAATATCAATTCAACAGCTGATTGTAAACTTTTGAACGGTTGCGTATAGTTTTGCTAACAAAGTCATGTCTTCCTTGCATTACGACAGGAACCTAACGCAGTAAGCAAAAACAGCTGTCTGCATCTGTGCTTGTGATCACCAGCGAACATCTAGGATCACACCTTGAGATGCTGCAGACGGAAACTGTCTCATTGCAACAATAATGACCAACAAAACATACGGTAGAAGTGGTGGTGAAAATGATAAAAACATCCTTCAAGTTTGTCTCACGTCTGAACACAACAGCTGTTACATCATTGAACAGTCTTACAATGAGTCCTCCCTATGAACTCCACCAAAACGTCCTTTGTCGTGCTCACACACTTTTTCCTCTTTCATCATGAAAAAGCAGCTATTGTTTGTCGAATCTGTTCAAATGTCGGTAGCAAGTCTTCTGAAATGTATTACGTCTGCTGAAGGACAAACTAACTACATATTTAAGGGTATAGGCCAAGGCTCAAATTCAGGGATATTGTCCTATAGAATGGATTTACTTAATATCACATCACTGAATACGCAACATTTGTAAACTGTAAGGCAGTTTTCATTTTGTCTCCTACGGTATTTTTTTAAGTGCTTTTTTTATTTTTCATTAGCTTCAATAATCAAAGTTCCCCTCCATTCATAAATGTGTTTAGCTTATTGTTGCTTCACTTGGATGTTTGGGATTCACTGTGCAGAATGTTTGTGCAGAGTCTGACACCACATTCATCTGCTAAATCTTTCCACATGTTTTAAAACACGGCTGGAGGAGATCTTTAGTTTCCTAAACGCTATCAGACCTTTGCCATAGAGGTGGCGGATCAGAAAATGCACACATGAACCGTTTCTGCTGTCAGTTATAAGACCCCTTTTTTTTTTAGATAGAACTATCAAACGACCTATGTTGTTGTAACCTTCCTCCTGTGTTAGCTTTCTGTTACCATCTCTTATGTTAACGGGTCGGTTTTGACCCATGTCTTAAATCAGCTGTAAAATACACTAAAGACAATTATCTAGCATTCAATTTGTTTCTCATCTCTTGGTTACCTTGTTAGGCTTCCTTATCCATGAAAATATTGGTTTTAATATTTTTGGTGTGGGCCTCTGGGCCTTTTCTTTATCAGTATACTCCTCGATTTCAATTAAAAAATGGTAAAATGAACCTCAAGAGAATCATATAAATAAATAAAAGGTTGTTGTGTTACCTGACTATTACTGAGGGGTATTAGAACACATCTCTTAAATAAATTTGTTTTATTTATTTTTTTATTTTAATATTATTAACTGTAGTAACATCTATGGTGTTACGGGTCAATTTCGACCCATATATATTTACTTCAAGAAAAAGGTTAAAAAGTATTTTTTTCAGCAATAGAACTTTAATACATCCACTGTCACCTCTGGCCCTGGGTTGAACATCAGTGGAAGGAGCTGCACCCATCTGTCCCAGACATCCCTGATGGGGGCAAGCTTGTCAGATCTTGCTCTGGTATCTCTGTTGTCAAATCTGAGGACTCTTGATATCATTTGAAAGGTCTGAAGTGACATTGTTGCCCGGAAAATATTTCTGCCTGTCAATGCGTCCCAGAGACTATCAGTGGCCTCATTGCAGGATCTGTACACTCCAGCAATAAGAAGAACACCAATATAAGCATCCAGGTATTCCTCATCAATGTCTTTCCACATGTCGCCATGGACTTTTTTTCCTTCAAGGTTTGTCATAGCAATGATGACTCTTTTTAGTGACAATGGCATAAATAGCTCAAAACACGTCCTGATGTCACTGACTCTCGTCACAGCAAACCTTGTGATTCCAGGGGTCATGATGCCCTGCCATGTACATCATGAGGTACTGAGCTCCAACAGATCTTACCATTTTTTGGACTTGAATCTTTCAGCGGGAGCAGCTTCACCACCGGTGACCACCTCATCAGACGTGTCTGTCTTCTGGATGATACTCCACATTGTCTTCCTCCTCAGAAACCTGCTCATCCCTATCGCTGTGCTGCTCTATGTCCTCTCCCTCATTT